TAGAGGGGAAGGGAAACAGAAAGGTGGGAGGGAGGGAGGAAGGAAGGAAGGGAGGGAGGGAGGAAGGGAAGGATAGAAGGAAGAAAGGAAGAAGGAAGGAAGGAAGGAGAGAAGAAAGGTAGGTAGGAAGGGAGTAGAGGGGAAGGGAAACAGAAAGGTGGAAGGGAGGAAGGGAGGAAGGGAGGGAGGGAGGGAGGGAGGGAAGGATAGAAAGATAGAAGGATAGAAGGAAGAAAGGAAGAAGGAAGGAAGGAAGGAAGGAAGGAGAGAAGAAAGGTAGGTAGGAAGGGAGTAGAGGGGAAGGAAACAGAGAAAGGTGGGAGGGAGGGAGAGAGGGAAGGAAGAGGGGAAAAGGGGAAGGGAAAGAGAGAGAAAGAGAAGGAAGGAAGAATAGAAGTGAAGGCAGGCAGGCAGGAAGGAAGTAGAGGGGAAGGGAAGTAGAGAAAGGAGGGAGGGAGGGTGGGAAAGAAGGAGGGAAGGAAGGGAAAGAAGAGGGAAGGGAAAGTGAGAGAAAGGAAGGAAGGAAGGAAGGAAGGAAGGAAGGGAAGGAAGAGGGAAAGAGGGGAATGGAATGAGAGAGAAAGGGAAGGAAGGAAAGAAGGAAGGAAGGATAACAGATAACAGAGTGGGAAGGGACCTTGGAGATCCTCTAGTCCACCCCCTCGTTCAAACCGGACAACTGGTTCTCCGATCTTTCCTTTAAAACCTCCAGGGTTGGAGAAACGAAAGCGATTCGCAGCATCCGAAGACTTCCCAGAAATTGGCCCAGCCGGTTCGGCGTGGAAGATGACCTCACGGCAACAACACACCCCAGCGAAGGAGGGCAGGGTTAATCCGTGGGGCTGGGTGTGCCCCGTGGAGGGCACAGAGTCCAATCGATAAACTTTGGGCCCCCGGGAGAAAGTCACCCATCCTCCCACCTCAAACCAACCCATCGAAGAAGAGAAGATTCGCAACGCGGCCTCCGTCCGATGTGCCATTCAAAGGGCGCAACCGGGCAAACTCGGAAGCCATTTCGTCTCAGCTTTGAAAAAAGCGGGTAGGAAGTGGAAAGAAGGGAAGAATAGAATGGAATAAGAAGAGAAGAGAAGAGAAGAGAAGAGAAGAGAAGAGAAGAGAAGAGTAGAAGAGAAGAGAAGAGAAGAGAGGGAGAGAGAGAGGAGAGGAGAGGAGAGGAGAGGAGAGGAGAGGAGAGGAGAGGAGTATAGAATAGAATAGAATAGAAATAGGAGAAGAGAAGAGAAGAGAAGAGAAGAGAAGAGAAGAGATAGAATATAAGAGAAAGAGAGGAGAGGAGAGGAGAGAATAGAATAAGAATAAGAATAAGAATAAGAATAAGAATAAGAATAGAATAGAATAGAATAGAATAGGAGAGGAGAAGAGAAGAGAAGAGAGAGAAGAGAAGAGAAGAGAAGAGAAGAGAAGAGAGGAGAGGAGAGAATAGAATAGAATAAGAATAAGAATAGAATAAGAATAGAATAGAATAGAATAGAAATAGGAGAGGAGAAGAGAAGAGAAGAGAAGAGAAGAGAATAGAAGAGAAGAGAGAGAAGAGAGAGAAGAGAGGAGAGGAGAGAATAGAATAAGAATAGAATAAGAATAGAATAGAATAAGAAAGAATAAGAATAGAATAGATAGAATAGAATAACAGAGTTGGAAGGGACCTTGGAGGTCATCCAGTCCAACCCCCTGATCAGGCAGGACACCCTATACCATTTCAGACAAAAAGGCCTCACCTGGTGCCCATCAGATGCCCACCTGTGCCAACCTGTGCCAAGGCACGATTCCTTTATCGTGGGCACCCCCCACACGTGTACGCCGGCCAGATTCGGTGGGAGGGTTCTAAAAAAAAACCCGGGACGGCTGTTGAGAGTTTTATCTCTGCACCACATACCACCAATTTTATAATTTTTTATTATTATTATTATTATTATTATTATTATTATTATTATTATTATTATTATTATTATTATTATTATTATTTTTATTATTATTATTATTATTTTTGCAAGACGGGGGTCGCCCAACATGGGACTCTCTACATGCCAAGGAGGGGTTTGAGTTAGTGATGAGAAAGGACAGGGTTTAATAAAACCGGGGAACAGGCTAAGGTGGCCAACGGAACACCAGGTAGTCCTCGAATTACGATTCGTTTAGCGACCGTCCAAAGTTACAACGGGACTGAAAAAAATGCGACACGGGATCGTTTTCTCCTTACGACGGTTGGGGCACGTGATTCAAATGCAGGTGCCTGCCAACTGACTCATATTTATGATGGTGTCCCGGTGGGGGTCACAACCTTCGGGCGAGCCGAGGCTCACTTAACGACCGTCGACTAAGCTAACAAAGTGAGAGATTCCCTTAAGAAAAGGTCGTAAAACGGGGACAAAGCTTTTGACTTTCGACAAGTGAATAGAAAATAGAATAACGAAGAGTTGGAAGGGACCTTGGGAGGTCATCTAGTCCAACCCCCCCCAAGGCTCGAGCGGGCGGGAAGACCCTTCGCAAGGGTCTCAGTCAGCAACAGAAATCCTGGGCGCCATTGTACGTCGTACGTCGAGGACCATTTCTACTTCCCGCTAAATGAAGCAGATGCGTATGAAGTGTGCCACTCATTTCTGCCGGTGACCCCAAAATCGGCGCATCGGAGTTTCTCCCTAACTGAGCCAACATTACCCCAATACAAAAACAGAAGGAACAGATAAAACGAGAGGGAGGGAGGGAAGGAAGGAAGGAAGGAAGGACAGAATAATAGAATGGAGGGAACTTGGAGGCCTTCTAGTCCAACAGGAAGGAAGGAAGGAAGGAGGAAGGAAGGAAGGAAGGAAGGAAGGAAGGAAGGAAGGAAGGAAGGAAGGAAGGAGGGAGGGAGGGAGGGAGGGTGGGTGGGGGAAGGGAGGGGGAAGGAAGGAAGGAAGGAAGGACAGAATAATAGATTGGAAGGGAATTTGGAGGCCTTCTAGTCCAACAGGAAGGAAGGAAGGAAGAAGAAAGGAAGAAAGGAAGAAGGAAGGAAGGAAGGAAGGAAGGAAGGAAGGAGAGGAAGGAAGGAGGACAGAGAAGGAGGGAACTTGGAGGTAGTAGGAAGGAAGGAAGGAAAGGAAGAAAGGAAAGGAAGGAAAGGAAGAAGGAAGGAAGGACAGAATAATAGATTGGAAGGGAATTTGGAGGCCTTCTAGTCCAACAGAAAGGAGGAAGGAAAGAAGAAAGGAAGGAAAGGAAGGAGGAAAGAAGAAAGGAAGAAAGAAGGAAGGAAGGAAGGAAGGAAGGAGGAAGGAGGAAGGAAAGGACAGAATAATAGAATGGAAGGGAACTTGGAGGCCTTCTAGTCCAACAGAAAGGAAGGAAGGAAAGAAGAAAGGAAGGAAGGAAAGGAAAAGGAAGGAAGGAAGGAAGGAAGGACAGAATAATAGATTGGAAGGGAATTTGGAGGCCTTCTAGTCCAACAGGGAAGGAAGGAAGGAAGGAAGGAAGGAAGGAAGGAGGGAGGGAGGGAGGGAGGGAGGGAGGGAGGGTGGGTGGAAGGAAGGGAGGAAGGAAGGAAGGAAGGACAGAATAATAGAATGGAAGGGAACTTGGAGGCATTCTAGTCCAACAGGAAGGAAGGAAGGAAGGAAGGAAGGAAGGAAGGAAGGAAGGAAGGAAGGAAGAAAGAAAGAAAGAAAGAAAGAAAGAAAGAAAGAAAGGAAGGAAGGAAGGAAGGAAGGAAGGAGGAAGGAAGGAAGGATATCAGAATAACGAGCTGGAAGGGACCTTGGAGGTCCTGTAGTCCACCCCCCTACTCAAGCAGGAGACCTATTCTTTAACTGACCACAGTTTGACCCATAGATTGAACCCCCCCCCCCCGGGCTCGGCTGACCCAGCGGGGGGGAGGGCAGTCTGTGGACTGAAACATGCTGGAATTATGGTGGGGCTGAACTCATAGGGTGAAGGTGGACACCCCCCCCCGAGAGATTTTTTGGGGGTGTGTGTGTGTATATTTTGGATATAAAATAAATGGGGAATTTAGCTGCTTCCTGCCCTCCCTCCCCACTTGAATTTTTTTTTTCCCCTGCCCAAGCTGCTTTTTTGAAAGTTGGGGGAAGAAGAGGAGGAGGAGGAGGAGGAGGAGGAGAGCCTGGGGGAAAGGATTAATGTTGACTTTTGGGTGGGTGGGGGGGGAGCTGTGAGAAAGAGGAAGGAGGAAGCTAATGGGATTAGGGAGAGAAAAAGGCAGAAGGGGGGGGGAGGAACGTACAGACACCCCCCCCACACACACCCCACCCTCGGGAGCCCCCAAGGCAAAAAAAAAAACAAAAAAACCAAAAATCAGCTCAAACGACCAAGGAGATAAGAGTTCAAAGCCCACCTCGAAACTCAAGAGAGACAGGAGTAGGAAGGGGGCACAGCCGAAACTGCCCTCCCACCCACCCACCCCTCCTTCCAGACGCGCTGGATCACCTCCCCCATCATCCCCAGCCTGGAGCCTCTGGCTTGCTAAGGGAGAGAAAGCGGTGGGGGCTTCATCTTTGTGGGGGGGAGGGGGGGTTTCAAGAAGAGGTCGGGCTGCCATCTGTCAGAAAGGGGTGCTTGCTTGGGCGGCGGGGGGGGGTAGGGGTGGTCTAGATGACCTACAGAGGTCCCTTTTTCCAAGGTCCGACTCTGTAGAAAAGGTTGCGGGTTAGGGAAGAAGGCGGCGGCGGCGCCGGAGGGGAAGGGGGTCTTGGGTTGAAGAGCGGAGACGACCCCTCCCCAACCACCCCAATGGGGAGGGGAGAGGGGAGCCCCGAAATGTGGGGGGGGGAGACACTCACCCCCTCCTTGGCGGATGCTGTTCGGTCGGCCGGCTGTGGGTTCAAGCGGATTTGGGGCGGGGGGTCGCTCCTGCTGGTGCTCTTACGCGGAGTGTCGGGCGCGATCTCTCTTGCTCCTCCACCACCTCTCGCTCCTCTTCTCTCCCCCCCTCCCTGCTCACCTGTCCTCTTAGCCACGCCCTCTCCACTCACCTGTCCGCCCACCCTCCCTCCACGACTCCTCCAGCTCGGCGGCCGCAAGCGACCTCCGCCTTCCCAGGTAAGGAGGGAAACTCAACTCCCTCCTCCTCCTCCTCCTCCTCCTCCTTTCTTTCCCTAGTCTCTCTCTCTCTCTCTCTCTCTCTCTCTCTCTCTCTCTCTTTCTTCCCCTCCCCACGGCTCCGCCCTTTACCTGCCCTCCAGCGCCGCCTCACCTGGCTGCGGACTCCGCTCGCCATCCGTGCCTCGCCCGGCCGGGCGATCGACTTGGCCAGCCGCCTCTGCTGCGTTCTTCCCATTGGGTGGCGGGGAGTTCCCCCGGCTTCCCATTGGTGGGTTGCACCTGGGCTGGGGTTGTTGGGGTTTTTTTTTTTTTTTTTTGGTCTTTTCTTTGCTCTCCCCCCCCTCCCCCGGTCGCCCCCGCCCCCCCTTCGAAATCTGGGGAAGGAAAAAAAAGCGGGGAGCAGAGAAAAAGCTTTAGCAATGAATCTCTTTTGGTCCCTTTCGCGTAGGGCGCCCGCAATTGGAAATTCCCCCCGATGCCGGGATGGGGAGGGTTTTTGGGGACGGGGGAGGGAGGGGGAGGGCTCTTGGGGACTTGGGTGGGGGGAGAGAGGGGAAGGAGGGAGGGGGGGAAAAAGGGAGGGTCACTTCAAAGGGTGGGGGGGGAGGGGTGGGGCTGAATCACAGGCGACACTGCGGAAGAGGATGTGTGCGAGTGGAAAAGATGACGGAATCGGCCGGCGGGCGGTGGGGGGACGAGATGGGACTTCCGGTGGGGAGGGACGGGTGTGGGGGGGGGGGGGTGTGGGACAGAAGAAAGACGGGGCGTTCCTCTCTGCCTCCCATCCCCCCCCACCGGCCTCCATGCAACCCTGCCCCTCCCCCCACCTTTCCCAGCGCCCTCCCCCCCTCCCCTCAATCTGTCCAGCCTGCCCCATCGATTCTGGTGGGGGGTGGGGGGGTGGGGGGTGAGGAGGGGTATATGGAACGCGAAAGGAGTCCGAAAGCCAGTTTGGAAAGGTTTGACTCTTTGGGGGAGGGGGTCTCACAACAAGCCACCCCCTCCCCCCCTTTTCACACACATACAGAGAGAGAGAGAGAGGAATCCCAGGTGGCTTAACTCGGTTCGTTTCTGATTGAGGGGAGCCCCCTCCCCCCCCTTTTCAGGGAGGGTATATAAACAGTATAACACTCCTTTTTTAGCACTGATGACGTAACCTAGTTGGGTCAGGGAACGTCTACAAGAAAATAACCAAGCTCAGAGAGCACCAAGGACCCCCCAGTTCTCCTCCTCCTCCTCCTCTTCCTCCTCCTCCCCCACCTCCTCCTCCTCCTCTTCTTCTTCCTCCTCTTCCTCCTCTTCCTCCACCTCCTCCTCCTCTTCTTCCTCCTCCTCCTCCTCCTCCTCTTCCTCCTCCTCCTCCTCCTCTTCCTCCTCCTCCTCCTCTTCCTCTCTGCAAACCCCACACCCTTCCAGCACTGATGATGTAACCTGGTTGGGGCTTGAAACGTCTACAAGAAAACCAGAGAGTGCCCCCCACACACACAGCCACAAAAAACTATTTCTTTTTTTAAAAAATCACCCCAAACAGGAGCGTTTCCCAGCTTTCTTAAAAGCAGAAGTATGAATGCTTAGCTGCAGAATCCGGGCGCCTCCCTGCCTCTCAGGATCCCAAATAGCTGGGGGGCAGAATGCTTTCCTGGGTCCCTCTGGGAAGGGTGGGGGAGGCTTGGAACGGCAGGCAGGGTGAGAGATTTGACTTAGGATTGTGCGGGGGAAGAAAAGTTGGGTTCCAGGATTCCTAGGAGGGAGGGAGTCCAGCCAAGAGCGGAAAAATGGGTAGAATAACAGACCTGGAAGGGACCTTGGAGGTCATCTAGTCCAACCCCCTGCTCAAGCAGGAAATCCTATTCCGTTTCGGACAAATGGCTGTCCAGTCTCTTCTTAAAAGCCTCCAGTGATGGAGAAAGAAGGAAGGAAGGAAGGAAGGAAGGAAGGAAGGAAGGAAGGAAGGAAGGAAGGCAGGAAAGAAGGAAGGAAGGAAGGCAGGAAGGAAGGCAGGAAGGAAGGCAGGAAGGCAGGAAGGAAGGAAGAAAGAAAGGAAGGAAGGAAGGAAGGAAGAAAGAAAAGGAAGGAAGGAAGGAAGGAAGGCAGGCAGGAAAGAAGGAAGGAAGGAAGGAAAGAAGGAAGGAAGGAAGGAAGGAAAGAAGGAAGGAAGGCAGGAAAGAAGGAAGGAAGGGAGGAAGGAAGGCAGGCAGGCAGGGCAGAAGGAAAGAAGGAAGGAGGAAGGAAGGCAGGCAGGAAAGAAGGAAGGAAGGGAGGAAGGAAGGCAGGCAGGCAGGAAAGAAAGGAAGGAAGGAAGAAAGGCAGGCAGGCAGGAAAGGAAGGAAGGAAGGAAGGAAGGCAGGAAGGAAGGCAGGCAAGAAAGAAGGAAGGAAGGAAGGAAGGAAGGAAGGAAGGAAAAATAGCAGAATAATAGAGCTGGGAGGAACCTTGGAGGTCATCTAGTCCACTTCCAAACGTCCACTTCCAGCATCCCCTTGGTCATACACGATCCAAATTCAGAGGCTTGGCAACGGATTCACATTGACGACGGTGATCCCCTTCTGCGACCTTCCGTCAAGCAAAGTCAAGGGGGAGGATTCAGTTAACGACGGTGTTACTCATGGAACAGCTGCCCCAATCGACACCCCCCCCTGTAACGGGAAAAGTCGTAAAATGGAGCTAAACTCACTGCACAAATGTTCCCCTCGGCACCCTAAATTTTGGGATCAATTGGGGGGACGGACGTAAGTCGAGGCCTTTACTTTACTTTTTACTTTTATTTGATTTCTATACCGCCCTACTCCCGAAGGAGCGGTGAACAGCCAACAATAAAATACATACATACAAAATTTAAAAAGCAGAAATAAAATTGAATTAAATAGTTTGGCCCAGACAGATTAAAAAAAAACAAACACCCAATCAATTTAAAACAAATGAAACTTTGAATATTAAAAATATTCAAAAATGTTAAAAAATATTTTAAAAAAGAGGGAGAAAGTTAGGCCAGGTGGAATAAAAAGGTCTTAAGAGCGCGGCGGAAGGTGCGCAGATCCGGGATCTACCTGTATAGATGAATTAATTTTTTTTTTAAAAAAAAAAAGGTGCACGAAAAGAATTGCAATTGAAGGAAATTTCGGCCGATTTTCTTTTGGGTTGGTTTATTCTGGGTTCAAAAAGGGTCTTGTTTGGTTTGGAAAGAGGGGGGGGCGACTTGGAAACCAATCGAGAGGGAGGGAAGGGAGAGGAGGCCCAGGCTACCTATTGCACATCGGGTGGGGCTCAGGTGAGACCAGGTGAGCAGGGAGCCAGGAAGGAACACGATGTTGCTAACCCCACCTAGCTTGGTTGCAACCGAACAGGTTGGGCTTCTATGGCCCCACCCAGTCACCTGTGCGAGGGGGTGTGCACAAGGAAGCCCGGTGCCAGCTTGCCCTGGCGTCATGTCGAGGCAATTCAGGCCACCTGGCCGCCATCCGGACTCCCCGATTTCTCCTCTGCTCCCTCCTTTCCACGCGCTCCCTTCTCTCGGCTAGTCGCAGGGAGGGAATAGGCCGCCTTGGTCAGCAATGGAAATTCTGTTGCTGGTTGTGAGATGATGGATGGATGGATAGATAGAAAGATAGATAGATAATAATAATAATTTGTATATACACAGTATAGCCATACAGCGAAATTCACTTAACACCTAAAGACCAGGTCCAACACAGATAGATAGATAGATAGATAGATAGATAGATAGATAGATAGATAGATAGATAGATGGATAGATATGACAGAGAAGATAGATAAATAGATATGATAGAAAAAATAGATAGATAGATAGATAGATAGATAGATAGATATGACAGAGAAGATAATAAATAGATATGATAGAGAAGATAGATAGATAGATAGTTTGACAGAGAAGATAGATAAATAGATATGATAGATAGATAGATAGATAGATAGATAGATAGATAGATGACAGAGAAGATAGATAAATAGATATGATAGAGAGATAGATAGATAGATAGATAGATAGATAGATATGACAGAGAAGATAGATAAATAGATATGATAGAGAAGATAGATAGATAGATAGATAGATAGATATGACAGAGAAGATAGATAAATAGATACGATAGAGAAGATAGATAGATAGATAGTTATGACAGAGAAGATAGATAGATATGATAGAGAAGATAGATAAATAGATATGATAGAGAAGATAGATAGATAGATAGTTATGACAGAGAAGATAGATAAATAGATATGATAGAGAAGATAGATAGATAGATAGATAGATAGATAGATAGATAGATAGATAGATAGATAGATGGATGACAGAGGATAGATAGATAGATAGATAGATAGATAGATAGATAGATAGATAGATATGACAGAGAAGATAGATAGATAGATAGATAGATAGATAGATAGATAGATAGATAGATAGATAGATACAGTAGATGGATAGATATGACAGAGAAGGTAAATAAATAGATATGATAGAGAAGATAAATAGATAAGATAGATATGACAGAGAAGATAAATAGATATGACAGAAGATAGATAGATAGATAGATAGATAGATAGATAGACAGATAGATAGATATAGAGGTTAATAGATATAGATTGATGATAGATATTAACAGATAAAGGCAGATTAGGAGGGATATAGATAGACGAGAGAGAGAGAGAGAGACAGATATAGACAGATGAGAAAGTGAGTGAGTGAGAGAGACAGATAGATGGATAGAGATACACAGATAGGTAAGTAGATAGGTAGATAGTAGATAGATAGATAGACGATGGATGGACGGACAGACATAGATAGATGGATGGATAGGTGATAGATATTAACAGATTAGGACGGATAAAGAGATTAAATAGATAGATGATAGCTATTAATATATAAAGATATATTAGGAGGGCAATAGATAGATAGATAGATAGATAGATAGATAGATAGATAGATAGATAGATAGATAGATAGATAGATAGATAGATAGATAGGTTTCCCTTCTGGGCATTGATCTTATGGTCCCATTTTCACATCCCAAGGGTTCACACACCCCCATAACCTGTTCAAATATGCAGGTCCCGGTTTACGTGGGATGCGAATGCGAATATTACCATGATCTTATTTCATGGTTTTGGTGAATCCCTCCTGCCATCCGAAGCAGCGGCCAACCTTGAGAACAGAAAAGTTTAAAAAACAACAACAACAAAACTCGGGAGCTTCCCCAACAGAAGCAGGATTTTAGAAATAAATAAATAAAACGCGGATGGTGTTTTCTACCAGGCCTGTTTGCAAAGAAACAAAAGATGGAGTCGTTCCTTCTTCCTGAGGCAGGGAGTTCCAGAGACACCAGGAGCCTTGGCTAATAACTCCCCCCCCTCCCTCTTCTCCCCCCCCCCCCCCAGATAAAGGCATTGTGACAGCAGAAAACGAGGCAGGTTTCTCGGGCTGATTTTATACCGCAGGCGGTTGGAATTGAAAGATCTAAGAAACCCTTACAATTAAAATGTTTTGTGTTTTTTCCCTCATCCAAACCAGGTGTGCCCTCCTGGAGACTGCCAGCTTCCATCCTCTCCCCAAAAGGAGCCAAGCTTCTAGTCCTCGTGAGCCAATTGCAAACCACCTTAGCCCAGAGTTTCGAGCCTTACCTTATAGCGGGGGAGTGGGGGAAGAAAAATAATAATAATAATAATAATAATAAACGTCCATCGATTAAGGTCAAACGGGCCAGCCCATTTCGGTGGGCTGGGGGAGGGAGGGGGGAAAATGCGTGTCGTCACACAAACCCAGCTTGGCGGGAGCGAGTGCGAATCCTGCTGCAATCTCAGCCCTTGAAGGAAGCCGGTGAGTGGGTTAAAAGTGGGCACCAAGCAAAAAAAACAACAACAACCCACCGAAAACTGAGGGCTGGGGGGTTTTTGGGCGACGTTGTGGGGATCTGGAGGCGGAGGGTGGTTTTTGGGGTGGCGTGTGGGGAGGCTGGCATTCCCCCCCTTACCAGCTGTGCCCCTCTTCCTTCCCCCCCCACCCCTCTCTGAAGTGGTTGGCACACAGGAAACCCACCCCACTCTTTCCCCACCGAGCTACTCAACCCTCCCCGGCTGAATTTTTTCAGCGAAAAAGTGGGTTGAGTTGGCAGACAGCGGTAAAGCCACAGGCGGGAACGGGGCGGATTCCCGAGCTGTCAATCACAGACCCCAGATGAAAGCGTGGGGTGGGGTGGGGTGGGGTGGTTCTCTCTCTCTCTCTCTTTTTTTCTCCCCACAGCCCCACCTCAAACCATCCAAGGATCTTTAGATCCTTGCTGGAGGCAGATTCGCACGATTCGGTCCAGCTCGTCGTCGGCTCCGTTTCCACAGGATGGGAGACCACAAGGAGATCAAATGTTTGGCCCGTCTTGATTACAGGAGTTAACAACCATTGGTTTGGCGACTGTTTGAAGTTACGATAACACTACGGGGAAAAAAAAAACGGGTTAGGACCGCCGTTCACACATTACGGCCGCTCAAAATTCGGACGCTTGGCGATTTGTGACGGTCGCAGCGTCACGCGATTCTCCTCCTTGCGACCTTCTGACGAGCAAAGTCCACAGGGAAGCCGATTCACTTAAGAACCATGTGAGTAAGTTAACCACGGCAGCGGTACTCACTTAACGACGGTGGATAAGAGAGGTTGTAAAACGGGGCAAAACTCAAACCGTCTCACATTGCAGCGGAAAATTTTGAGCAGAGTGGTGGTCGTTAAGTCAACAACTATCTGCAAAGCAGCCTCCGTGAGCCAGGCCTGACATCGATGCGACTGTGAATGGCGGTTGCGTTTCAGGAAATCATGGTTTGTTTTAACCGTGGCTTGTTTCCTAAACTGCCTCTGATTGGTCCTACACAATAGGAAGTCGCCAAATTTTTACAATTTTAGGGGGTTTACAAGTGGCAGTTGGTGGATTTGAGCCTGAAACACAACCCCTGATCCACAAGGAAACAACACAATTCGCACAACGCATTTAACCCGGTTTATAAAACCATCCTAATTCCCAGGACTGGATATTTTGCGATCGAAAATATTCATTTTGGGTTCCCCCAAAAGCTGTAATTCCCCACCTCAAAAACTAACCAGGATGGAAAAAATGAGCCCATTTTATTGACGGCAGCAGCTAAGTTGGCAAATAATAGAAATAAATTTCCACTTGAATTCAAACTTCTTGAAATAGAAAATAGTGAATTTTTTTTTAGCAGTACTGTGCAGCGAGCGCCCTCTGCTGGCAGGTCTGCAAACTCCAGGGTTGTGTGGACCAAAAAACATATTTATTTGTCTATTATTTTAAATGCATATATTTGCAAAAAGGAGGGGTGATTTAGCCTCTGCTGATCCCTGACCTTTCCCCCACTAAAACCTCCCAAATTCAATGCATTTGGAATTTAACGCTGTTCGTGCACAATGGAGTAGAAGAATTGCACTTTGCATATGCTCAGGAGCCTGTTAGTTAAAAATCCCTCACGTTTCTGCCTTTCCAATTGCCAAAAACTTGCCACGCAGGAGGTTGATTCAGTCAAATAAGCAAAAGAAAAACCCAGTCGGTGATCACTCTGTACATGCTCAGGAGCACTGGATAATTATAAAAACCATGGAATTAGATTCCTGGATGAGAATATTTAATATTTAGAATAGACGTTGGGCATTTATGCATTCAAATTTAAGATTTTCGAGTGCAGTTTAAAAAAAAATTGATTTGCACTTATATCGCATAGTCCTCGACTTTCAACAGTTCGTTTAGCGACCATTCGAAGTTATGACGCTGAAAAAAGTGACTTACGACCGTTTTTCGCACTTACGACCGTTGCAACATCTCCGGGGACACGTGATCAAAATTCAGAGGTTTGGCAACTGACTTGTATTTACGACAGTCACATGATCCCCGTTTTGTGACCTTCGGACGAGGAAAATTCACGGGGAAGCCACGTTCGCTTAATCCCTCAAAAGTTTCCCTTAACAACAAAGTTGGTAAAATGGGGCAAAACTCACTTAAGGACTGTCTCGCTAAGTGGCAGAACTTTTGGGGTCCGTGGCGGTCGTTAAGTCGAGGATTACCTGCACAGTATTAAAAAAAAAATATTTTTTTTGACTTGTACTGGTTTTGCTGTGTTTTTCTTTTCGCAATAACCATCAAAATCATTCGTTTTTAAAGAAGCAATTTAATTAAATTTAATTAATTAGAGATATACAGAAGGAAAACTCAGTCCTAAATATTCCTAAACATTTCCCACAACACGGAATTTTAGACAAATTCCGAAACTTCTCAAACCACAAAGCAACTTACGATTTCTTCAGCCACAAAACTGAACATTTTAATGTTTCAACCACCTGGTAACGAATCGATTTCCCGCCGTCTTTCCAATCGTTCTCCTCTTTCGTCATCCCCCCACCCCAAAAAACTTGACTTTTTCTTCTCGTTTTCCAACGTTCGGCTCCAGAAGGAAGAAGATGGGGCGATTCTATATCAAGTCAGCTACTGTGCTAGGACCGCATACAGGCAGTCCTTGAACTTGCGACCGTTCATTTAGAGTGACCGTTCAAAGTTACGACGGCGCTGAAAAAAAAGGGGGGATTTAGCTTTTTCACACTGGATCCCACGTGATCACAATTCAGACTGACTTGGCCACTGGCTCATATTTACGATGGCCACAGCGTCCCAGAGGTCACGCAATCCCCTTTTGCGACCTGCCGACGAGCCAGGTCAAAGGGGAAGACGGATTTGCTTAACGACGTGCAGCTAACTTTTAACAACCGCCGGGATTCACTGGAACAAAAGTGCGGCAAGGAAGGAGGGGGCTAAAGCTCGCTTAGCAGATGTCACGCTTAACAACATGGGCTCCGTTGGGGATCGTAAGGTGAGGACTCACTGTTTTTCGGAGGAAAGGGGTGGAAAAATTTGCAAAATTGTTATCGGAGAGATTCGTGTGCTCTGCTTCGTCCTCGCGTTACAATTTTGCAGAGAATTCTCGCTACCCCATAAAAAATATATAAAATGTGGGGGTTCCCCTGCTTTGTAAGTGTTTTGCCTGCTTGAGGCTGTTTTCCCGAGGGTACAGGCAGTCCTCGACTTACGATGCTTCATTTAGCGACCGTTCGAAGTTACAACGGCCCTTTAAAAAGGCACTTAATGTCCTTGCACTTATGACCAACCCAGTATTGCCCCCCCCAGGGTCAAAATTGAGGTGCTTGACAACCGGGTTGTATTTACGACGGTCGTAGCATCTCAGAGGCCAATGATCAGCACTTGCGACTTTCTCAGCTGGCTTCCAACAAGCAAAGCCAAGGAGGGAGGGAAGGGGGGAAAGCCGGATTTGCATAACGACCCTGTGACCCACTTAACAACGGCGGTGATTTCTTTAACCACCGTCCCCCGCTGTTTCCCGCCAAACGAAGAAAAAAACGGGAGGAAGCCAGATTCGCTTTAACAATTGCGGGACTCCCTAAACGATGGCAATTAATGATTTGGCTAACGATTTTTTTTTTAAAAAAAATTGGGTGCATCTCACAGAGCAACCGCCTTGCTTAGCCGGCGGACCTTCTGGTCGTAAATCGAGGACTATCTGCATTTAGGTCACAAAAGCAATAGATACTAGGGAAGAAAGCGGAGGGCGAGCGAGGAGCTCCTCAAAGCTTTAAGACCTCTCCGGCAAAGGAAGTTGAGTTTCTTGACTCTCCGAATAATCTACGTTGAGGGGGCGCGGTGTGTTCCCACAACCCCCTGCGTTGGGTTGTTGTGTCCCCCCACCCCAAAAAAATGGCTTCATCTCGGGGCGTTCAACAGCACTTCCAGCCAACACGGGCAAGCGGTAATGAACCGTCGAGTGTACGAAGCACCCCAACCTTTCCCGAAACTGATGCGGATTGTGTGCCCATCGTGGGGCCCTTCGCCAGCACCCGGACGCCTGCTCGTTAGGTACATGGCCCGCTCGTAATCGAAGACCTTGATGGAGTAACCGGGTTGGATTTTGTGAACCGGAGGGGCGGAGCTCCCCACGGGCCCCAGAGTAGGGGAACAGACGAAGAGGGGGTGCTCGCTTCGGTTGTACGCCCAAACCCCGTTAGCTTCTTGGCTGAGCAGCAAACCGCGTCCGATTTTAGCCTGGGTTCGCCGGACGGCTTGGCTGCGGTTTCGGGATGCCAGCTGGCCCAGGCAGAGCCCGTTGCCGTTGGGGAGGTTGGAGAAAACGCAGACGTAATCTTCGTGGACCGGGTAGAGCCTCCCCACCCGGAGGCGATACTCCCAGTAAGCCAGTTTGCACCAGTAGCCGTCTCTCAGGGAACAGCGGGAGAGGGTGGTATCTGCGGGAGAGAAAGGGGTTACAAAATCAAGCTTCGTCGCTTGAGACTTTCAAGAAGAGATTGGACCGCCATTTGTCAGAATTGGTGTAGGTAGGGTTTCCTGTTTGGGCAGTGGGGTGGACTAAATGACCTCCAAGGTCCCTTCCAACTCTGTTAATCTGTAAATAGTCCTTGATTTACGAGAGTTTGGCGACGGCGCTGAAAAAAAAAAAGGGGACTTGTGTTTTGCAACCATTTGCAATTTAGTGGGACAATTGATTTAACCTTTAAAGGACCTTGGAGGTCATCCAGTCCAACCCCCTGCTCAGGCAGGAAACCTTATACCATTCCAGACGAGTGGTTTGTCCAGTTCTCTTCTTAAAAATCTCCGGTGATGGAGAAGCAAGCCACGTTTTCTGGAGAAAAGTTGTTCCGTTGATTCATTGATCAGGGTTTATAATAGAATAATGGAAGGGACCTTAGAGGTCCTCTAGTCCAACCCTATGCTCAAGCAGGAAACCCTATTCCATTCAAGACAAATGGCTGTCCAGTCTCTTCTTTAACCCCCTCCCCCACCCGTGATGGATCACCCACAACTTCTAGTGGCAAGTCGTCCCACTGATCCATTTGTCTTCCACCGTCAGGAAATTCCTTGTTAGTTCTAGGTTGCTTCTCTCCTTGATTAGTTTCCATCCATTGCTTCTTCTCCTGCCTTCGGATGCTTTGGGGAATAAGTGGACTCCCCCTTCTTCTTTGGGTTCATCCTTGGAAGCTTTTGAGAAGAGACTGGATTGCCATTTGTCAGAAATAGTGTAGCGGGGGTTGGACTAGATGACTTCCAAGGTCCCTTTTCAACTCGGTTATTCTATATTCCCACGGAGCAGAAGTTGCCTTCAGAAGTTGCGGGAGCTTCATCCCTGGAAGCTTTTATAGAAGAGACTGGACTGCCGTCTGTCAACAATCGCGTAGGGTCTCCTTCTTGGGCGGGCGGGTTGGGCTAGATGACCTCTAAGGTCCCTTCCGACTCTGTTACTGCTCGTCTCTGCCCTCTTTCCAAAGTCTCAACAACATCTATCTTTATATATATATATTGGTCGTGACCAAAACTGGACATCGTCTTGGGCGTGCGTCCCTGGGGAGAGGCTGGCACCCTTCGAGACATGCGGCCGAGTTTCGGGGCGCCACGTAGCCGTGGGACTTCCTTGGGGGGGGGAACCCTGTCTCCGGCTGGGGGAGGAAAACAAACCAGGCGCCTAGGGGCTGCTGGGAGGCGGCTAGGTGGCCGGTTGCCAACGTTCAACCCTGCTTCGTACGTCAAGAGTCTATTTAGCGTCTCTCTCTCTCTCTCTCTGGCCGCCATTTCCTCTGGCTAGAAATAAACAAAGCATCCGGTCCAGTCCGGTTCGGCAGTCTAGGAGGAGGAAGGAGGAAATTCGCCTCCAGCCAACGTGGCCTTCCGGGTTCCCATTCCTTCTCTTGGGACAATCCACCGAACGTGGCACGCCCAGACAGACAAACAAACTAGCTTCCCCCTTGTGCATTGCAGCTTTGAAGGAGGTGGGGGGTGGGGGGGGGGGCGGAGGGGGGGAGGGGGGGAGGAGGAGGAGGAGGAAGGAGAGGAAGTGGCCGCTTTGGAAAATAGGAAAATAAAATCAGGGATGGGGGAATTGGGGGGTGGGGTGGGGGTGGAAGTTGTTTGGATCGACAGGTCTAAGGGCCTGTGTGGATAATAATAATAATAATAATAATAATAATAATAATAATAATAATAATAAATAATAATAATAATAATAATAATAATAATAATAATAATAATGGCGGAATAAGAGAGTTGGAAGGGAGTTGGGAGGTCTTCTAGTCCAACCCCCTTTCTTTCTTTCTTTCTTTCTTTCTTTCTTTCTTTCTTTCTTTCTTTCTTTCTTTCTTTCTTCTTTCTCTTTCTTTCTTTACCTTCTTCCTTCCTTCCTTCAGAGTAACACAATCGGAAGGGATCTTGGAGGTCTTCTATCCAACCCCCTCTGCCTCCCTCTTTTTCTCTTTTTTTCCTTCCTTCCTTCCTTCCTTTCTTTCTTTCTTTCTCTCTCTTTCTTTCTTTCCTTCCTTCCTTCCTTCAGAATAACAGTCAGAAGGGACCTTGGAGGACTTCTAGTCCAACTCCCTGCCTGTTTGTTTGTTTGTTTGTTTGTTTCTTTCTTTCTCTTTCTTTCTTTCCTTCCTCCCTCCTTCCTTCCTTCAGAATAGCAGTCGGAAGGGACCTTCTAGTCTTCTAGTCCAACCCCCGCTTCCTTCCTTCCTTCCTTCTCTTTTCTTTCTTTCTTTCTTTCTTTCTTTCTTTCTTTCTTTCTTTCTTTCTTTCTTTCTCTTTCCTTCTTCTTTCTTTCTTTCTTTCTCTCTCTCTCTCTCTCTCTCTTTCTCCTTCCTTCCTTCCTTCCTTCCTTCCTTCCTTCCTTCCTTCCTTCCTTCCTTTCTTTTGTTGGTTCGATTTATATGCCGCCCTTCTCCGGAGACTCAGGGCAGCTTACAATGCGTTAAGCAATAGCCTTCATCCTTTTGTATATTTTATACAAAGTCATCTTATTGCCCCCACAATCTGGGTCCTCATTTTACCTACCTCGGAAGGATGGAAGGCTGAGTCAACCTTGAGCCTGGTGAGATTCGAACTCACAGTAATTGCAGGCAGCTGGCAGCTAAGTGTTACTTTAACAGCACTTTAGTCCGCTGCACCACCAAGGCTCCTTCCTTCCCTTTCTTTCTTTCTTTCCTTCCTTCCTTCCTTCCTTCCTTCCTTCCTTCCTTCCTTCCTTCCTTCCTTCCTTCCTTCCGAATAACAGAGTTGGAAGGGACCTTAGAGGTCTTCTAGTCCAACCCCCTTCTCAAGCAGGAGACCCTACGTCCAACAGTTGCCCAATCTCTTCTTGGATAAACCTCCAGGGATGGAGAACCCACAACTTCTGGTGGCAAGTCGTTCCACTGGTTAATTGTTCTCGCCGTCAGGAAAGGCTGCCAATCGCTCCAGCAGCCTTTGTGTGTCAGCTGTGACTTAAAACAAGCCCATTGCATGGCCAAACCCCCCCCACCCCCACCCCCACACACCTCCCGTCCTCCTTACCTACCTTGCCATCCTTTGCGGTAGTTTTCTAAAACGTTGGTGCCCTTCAGAGGTGCAGAAAAAGGCGAGAGTTTGCAATACGGCGGTGGTGGGGTGTCTGTGGAAAGGCCAGATTGGGGGGGGGAAAAAAAAAAAACTCAGAAGTTTCGAAAGGCAGGTGGTTGTTAAGTGCGAAAAACGGTCGTAAGTCACTTTTTTCAGTGCCCTTGGAACTTTGAATGGTCACTAAATTAACTGTTGTAAGTCGAGGACCCCCTGTATTATATTGTCCATATTTTATATTGATAGATAGATAGATAGATAGATAGATAGATATAGTGTAGATATATCTATATAGGTAAAGGTAAAGGTTCCCCTCTCACATATATGCTAGTCATTCCTGACTATATAATATATATATATTATACATACAGAGAGAGAGGGGGGGGGGATGGATAGATAGATAGATATTAACATACAAAGACATAGATAGATGGATATGAAAGGATAGATAAATGATAGATATGAATAGACAGATAGATAGATAGATAGATAAATAGATAGATATTAACATACCAAGATATAGATAGATAGGTATAAATGGATAGATAGATAAGATAGATAGATAGATATGAATAGATAGATAGATGATAGATATGAATAGATAAATATTCACATACAAAGATATAGATAGATAGGTATGAATGGATAGATAGATAAATAGATAGATAGATATGAATAGATAGATAGATGATAGATATGGATACATAGATATTAACATACAAAGATATAGATAGATAGGTATGAATGGATAGATAAATAGATAGATAGATAGATGATAGATAGATATGAATAGATAGATAGATGATAGATATGAATAGATAGATATTAACATACAAAGATAGATAGATATGAATAGATAGATAGATAGATAGATAGGTATGAATGGATATAGATGATATAGATAGATATGAATGGATAGATAGATGATAGATATGAATAGATAGATAAATAAATAGGTGATAGATAGGTATGAATGGATAGATAAATGATATAGATAGATATGGATAGATAGGTAAGATGGATGGATGATAGATGGATAGATAGATAGATAGATAGATAGATAGATAGATAGATAGATAGATAGTTAGATAGATAGATATAAATGGATAGATAGATAAGAATAGATAGGTATGAATGGATGGATAGATAGATAGATAGGTAAGATGGATGGATGATAGATAGATGGATAGATATAGATATATAGATGGTATATTTGCTGATCTTTTATTTAAATTAAATCCGTACAGCAACGATTTCACGGCCTCTGTAGATGCCATTCACTAAATCAATCAATCAATCAATTAAAAAAAAAAAAACACCCTAACCACCAAACGGCCCGTTCCCACGGTGGTCGCATCACGAGGCCTCTAGGGAGAGACCCAGTCCCCACCTCTGGGTCTTATTCTGAGCGGAGCTGTGCACCATTTCGAGCAATGCTTTGCCCGCCCCTCTGGCTTCCTTTGCACCGTGGGGTGCATCCCTCCCTCCCTCCCTCCCTCCCTCTCCTTGCACCCCCATACCCACCGGGGAGAGCGAGACGGCTAAGGTGATGCGGGTTGCAGCAATGGACAGCAGCCCCCTCGCCTCCTGCGTTCTTGCAGAAGCACAAGCGCTTCAGCTCGTGGGGCTGGCGGAGGTCCGGCCACCGGTAGAGACGGCAAAGCAGGAGCGAAGCCGACGGGCCTGGTTTGACCCCGCGGGGTTCGACCCAAACGCAGCCCGATTCTCCGGCCCCCTGGCTCTCCACCGCCTGCAGCAAGAGCTCCAGTTCCTTGTCCTTCAGCTTCTTGAAGAGCGCGTGGGCCAAGGGTTTCAGAACCCCGTGGTTGTCCTCCAGGCCGGGTGTCAGGCAGCGCAATCTCCAAAGCCGTTGCACCAAGCTGGCTCTCCGAGACCGGAACATGAGGCTCAAGTGGAAGGGGAAGAGGAGAGAACATAAAACAGGTTAACAAGAGTCGGGAAGGCACCTTGGAGGTCATTTAGCCTGACCCCACCACTGCCCAAGCAGTGAGACACGACACCATTGTTGACCGATGGCGGTCCGGTCTCTTCTTTGAAAGCTTCCAGGGATGAAGCTCCCCGCAACTTCTGAAGGCAACTTCTGCTCCATGGGAATATAGAATAACAGGGCTGGTCTAAATGTCCTCTTAAGTTCCTCCCCCCTTTCTCTGCCCGGCCTAACTCACAGGGTTGTTGTTGTTGTTGTTACAAGTAGTGATGTGGGGGAAAAAAACAGAGGAGGAAACGTTAAGCCTCCATCCTTTTGTTCCAGGAAGGGAAGGCAAAATATAAATAATGCCAAAAATAAAACGCAATTGTGGGACTTCACAGGAGTCACGCTGTTAAACTCCTTCTCTAAATCTATTTAATGATTTTAATTTTTAATCATTGTTGCGTCTTGTGTTTTTAAATTGGCTGTACACCGCCCTGAGTCCTTCGGGAGAAGGGCGGTATAGAAATAAAATTATTATTAATTATTATTATTATTATTATTATTATTATTATTATTATTATTATTCTCTTAGGATGGGACTCGGCTCCCTTTGCCACAAATCCGTGCAAAAGAGTGAAAAGAGCCTTGGTAGTACAGTGGTCTAAAGCACCCTGTTATTAAGACCAGCTGCCCGCAATTACTGCGAGTTCGAATCTCGCCAGGCTCAAGGTTGACTCAGCCTTCCATCCTTTCTGAGGTGGGTAAAATGAGGACCCGGATTGTGGGGGCAATAAGCTGACTTTGTATAAATATACAAAAGGATGAAGGCTATTGCTTAGCGCATTGTAAGTCGCCCTGAGTCTCCGGAGAAGGGCGGCATATAAATCAAATTTTTAAAAAAAGAAAAAAAGTGGAGGCTGTCACACACCCCCTCCCCAAAGAGAGACCCTCACACTTGCTAAAATGAGCACCCCCCGAATCCCGGAGCTAACCCGAACAACAGCGCCCCCCCCCCTTCTCACAACCTGGTGAAAACACGACCCCAATGCATCCTCTATCCAGCCCAGATATGTGTGTGAATGCAGAAACATCCAGCTCCAGGATACCTCCCCTCTAAATCTTAAGACCACCCCCCCACCCCCTCTTTGCAAGTTAAGAGCCATAGAATAACAGAATAGTGGAAGGGACCTTGGAGGTCATCTAGTCCAACCCTTCACCCGAGAGCGGGCGGCATAGAAATATGACTAATAAATAAATAAATAAATAAATAACCCCTCCCCCACCTGAGCAAGGAGACCCTACCCCATTTCTGACCGATGGCAGCCCAGTCTCTTCTTGAAAAGCCTCCAGGGATGAAGCTCCCACAACTTCCGAAGGCAACTTCTGTCCCATTGAATATAAGAATCACGGAAGGGACCTTGGAGGTCATCTAGTCCAACCCCTCGCCCGAGCAAGGAGACCCCACCCCATTTCTGACCGATGCCAGTCCAATCTCTTCTTGAAAAGCTTCCAGGGATGAAGGCAATTTCTGGTTCCATGGTTGGGTTATTCTCACTGTGCCAGAAAATTTCTCCTTATTTCCAGGTTTATTTATTTATTTATTTATTTATTTATTTATTTATTTATTTATTTATTTATTTATTTATTTATTTATTATATTTCCATACCGCCTTTCTCCCGTAGGACTCAAGGCGGTGTACAGCCGAGAAAAATATAGACACACAAACACAACATCAACAAACTGATCTCTCCTGGATCGGTTTCCATCCCTTGTCCGGCCTTCAAAGGTACTTTTGGAAAATAGTGCTTGCCGTACCGTCAGTCGCCGTTATAAGTCGAGGACTACCTGTTACAGGGACTGCCAGAACTCTCCCTCGTCCCAATCCCCCTAATCCAGTCCAGATATGTGTGAACGCAGAAACTCCCAGTGCTTAAGGAGCATCTTTGGAAAGGATGCCTGAATTCTACCTCCTCCAGGATGCCTCCCTTCCAAATCGTAAGCCCACCCACCCCCTCTTTGCAAAGTTAGAATGAAAGGGCTGCCTGGGTTTGAGCCCACCACCCAAGAAATCACTCACTGCGTAAAAGAGGGGAAGGCTGGACGGTCTCCGCTGGATGCTGCTGCCCGTCAGCTGAAGGGCTCTTAACCTACGGATTTCCTGCCCCAAATCTTTTCTTTGCTGGCTGTTCCCTCCTACTCCTTCCCTAACCCGGCCTCTGGGGGAGGGAGAGGAAACGGGGAGGGGGCTGCTTGGAGTAATCACAGTTTGCCTGGGGGGGGGGGAAAACTTGGGTTGGTCAGTTTGGGTTGGAGGGCAGCAATGAGGCCGATTCGGGGCTCGGCAGCCCCCCCCCCAAAACAAAGTGGGGTTTTTCTCCCCGTTTTGCGGCCAGACGTGGCGAACTGGATCCCAATTCCTTGGTTTGAAGGGGTGGAGCAGTTAGCGGAGTAAGGGGGGGAAGGTCTGCCAAGGGGGCAATGCTGGGGTCCCCTTCCCTCTGCACCCCCAGCTTTGATCTAAAGACCTTTTTATTCCACCTGGCCTAACTTTCTCCCTCTTTTTAAACAATTTTTAACATTTTTAATATTTTTAATACTCAAAGTTTAAATTTGTTTTAAATTGATGGGGGTTTTAATTTGTCTGGGCCAAACTATTTAATTCGATTTTATTTCTGCTTTTTAAATTTTGTATATATGTATTTTATTGTTGGCTGTAGTCCTTCGGGAGTAGGGCGGTATACAAATCAAATTAAAGTAAAGTAAAGATGTTGCAATCTCCTTGTGCTGGGTTCAAGTCCAGCCACTGATGTCAGGGCTGGATGGAAGGAGCCCCCAGTTCTGGATTTGCAGCAACAGAGAAACTGAGTTGGCTCCCCTTAAACTTCCCCTCCTCTCCTCCCCTCCCCCGTGACCCCCAATGTTTAAATTCTGGGGCACAGGAGTGAAGTTCACTTGTGGCTCAGTGGCTAAGACACCGAGCTGGTCGATCAGAAAGGTTCGGCAGTTCGAATCCCTAGTTACCGGTCTCCTGCGTGAGCAGGGGGTTGGACTAGATGACCTCCAGAGTCCCTTCCAATTCTGTTACTGTTCCTGACTTTAAGTTAGCCGCAGCAAGTCAGTACGAGTTCTCAAAGGAACAAGCAAGCAATCTATGTTTCCGAGCTGAGAGCAAGCCAACTTTTTCTCTTTATCCTGGTTTGTTCTCACTTTGCCCCTCTGAACCCCCCCCCCACAGGTAGGGGAAGAATCGACGCCCGTGCACCCCATTAGGCAGCTCTAGAGATACACCCCGTCTCCTCTGATTATTATTTTTTTTAATATTTTATTGAATTTATATACCGCCCTACTCCCGAAGGACTCAGGGCGGTGAACAGCCATAGAATCAAACATATAAATACAAAATTTTAAATAAAACAAAACAAATTAAATAATTTGGCTGAACAAATTTAAAACCCCAATAATTTAAAACCAAATTTAAAATTCCCATTTAAAAAGGGGAAAGACTTAGGTCAGACCATTATAGATTAATTCCACACCTTTCCAACTTTCCTAGCTCTCCTTGGACCCCCGCCCCCCCCGGAACCTTTCCACCAGCCAAGCCAGGTTTCTAGTCCTCAAGATCCCCTGGTTTTGCTTTGACGGATGGGGGTGGAGGTGAGGGCAGCAGCACCTGCCACGGTTTCTCCCCCCCCCTTTTTTTTTGTAGGGAGAAAGTCATCCAAGTTTGCAAGGTTTTTATTTTTTTTCCCCTTCCATCCTAAACGTGGGGGTCTTCCAATCTAGGGAAGCGGGGGGGGCTCTCCTGCCAAAAGGGAGAAAAGAGAGGGGAGGGGGGGCTTTCAAAAGATCAGCAAGGCTGTCCCCTTTAAAGAAGCCAGGGCGTTGCGACCCCGCGCTATCTTCGTGGCTTCCTCTTCCAACTTCCCCCAAGAGATACGAGAGATTGCGCTGGCGCCGCGCGGCTCTGGATCCCAGGACCGAGCCAGCGGCGCTTGGCGCCAGCAAGGCAAGGCTGGGGAGGTCGCTTCCCCATCCCGCCGCCGCCGCCTCCACGTCCTGCTAGCAAAATCAGCGCCCCCCCTCTCTCCCTCCCCATTGCCAAAGCCAGCATCTCAAAGAGAATTGCCCTTCCTCTGCGTGCGCCCCTAGCTCTCTCCAAAACGCGCGCCCGGAGTGCCACCCATCCAGCTCTGATCTTAACACCCCCTTTCCCCCCACGCCACCCGGAGAAAGCTGGCTCTTGGGGGCAGGAGGGGAGGGAAGCCGGAGTCCCCACCCCACCCCACCCCAACTTTGCCCAAAGCCAGCATCTCAAATTGCCCTTCCCCTGAGTGCGCTCTGCGCCCCAGCTCTCCAAAACGCACGGCGCGCCCCGGAGCATCCAAAAAGGAGTGCCACCCACCCAGATCTGATCTGAGCCCCCCTCCCCTCCCCGGAGAAAGCTGGCTCTTGGGGGGGGGTAGGAGGGGAGGGAAGTGGGAATCCCCCCCCCACCTTGCCAAAACCAGCATCTCAAAAGGGAATGAATTGCCCTTCCCCTCTGCGTGCGCTCTGCGCCCCAGCTCTCCAAAAAAACAGAAAAGCTGGCTTTTGGGGGCAGCAGGAGGGGAGGGACTCCCCAGCCTGGCTCGGTTCTGAGCAGCCGGGGGTGGGAGTGGGGAGTGCTGGCCACGGGGTGACCCCTGGCGCCGGCCCCAGTCGAGCTGCGCTTGGTTGGAGGCGGACAGGATCTTATCAAGAGAAGCAGGAAACTGCTTGCAAAAAAGAAAAAAACAAGAAAAAACCGAGACAAGAGGAGCCGGGACGCCGGAGTCAGGAATGGGGAAGCGGCTTTGCCATGGGGCCGGGAGGGGGGGGGGGGGGGGGGGAGGGGGGGGGGGGGGGGGAAGAGAGAGAGAGAGTGAACCGAGAAGCTCAAAAGGAAGCCCAGCCATCCTGTTTCCAACAGCGGCCTCCCTTGTGGGGCGCCTGAGATCGCCTGCACTTCCTGACCCAGGTAGACTGCTCTTGGACAGGGAGGCTCTCTCTGCTTCCATATCTCCCTCGGCTGGGGTGGATTGGGAGGCGGGGTGTGTGTGTGTGTTTGAATTCTGGGAGTTGGAAGTCCACAGCCCGCTGAAAAATTGCCAAGGATGATTAGGAAAAACAGCTCCGGCTAAGAATTCAGATCATCCTTTTTTGGTTCCGAGAACAGCTGTAGGTTTAGTAAAAACCACTGGTACATAATTTTATTCCCCTACGTAATTTTGTTTACCATAATAATAATAATAATAATAATAATAATAATAATAATAATAATAATAATAATCCTTTTGACTTGCTTCAATCATATTAAAATGAGGACAAGGGAAGGCCGGTGAGAATTGGGGGGGAAAAAAAACAACCCTATTTTTTTATTCCAATACAGAAAACGGAGAATATCAGAAACACGGTTTATTTGTGGCGAAAGATCAATTCGAAAGATGCCAACAGGACTAACTAAATCAGGGGTCAGCAACCTGCGGCTCTGGAGCCGCATGTGGCTCTTTGACCCCTCTGCTGCCGCTCCCTGTCACTCAAAATATGCGTCAAAACCGCCAATGTGCGACACCCGCCGGCACGCGATTTATTGAGCTTTTCAACCTCCAGTAGGCCAACCATGGATAAATCCAAGAGAAGAAAAGTTTCAGAAGAAAACAGAACATTTAATTCGACTACATTTGCTAGTTTTGTGGCTGCTCAAGAAATAGTCAGGCACGGGAAGGGTTTTTGTGACTCCCGGTGTTTTCTTTTCTGTGGTGAAACGGGTCCAAATGGCTCTTTGAGTGTTTAAGGTTGCAGAGCCCTGAACTAGACCAATCCAAGAACGGCTCTCACCCGTGCATTCCATTTTATGACACTTGATAAAACCTTCTTTGAAAAGTTACTTCGTCCCCTCCGGGGTCTTGCTTAAACCAGCATTGCCGGCTAGAGGCGCGATCTTCAATGGCGAGAGATGCGTTCTTCTTTTTCGTCTTCCAACTCGTAAGCCGGCCGGTAGGACTCCTGGCCTTGTGCGTTTGTGTAACGCAAAGCTTGGTTTTTTCGCGTGTTGGTCATGCTACCCAGCGAGGTGTAACTGCCGAATACGTGAAGCCAGCATGAAAACAAACAAACAAACAAACAAACATCCCCTCACATTTTCAATCCAGGGATAATCAACCTCATGATATACAGTACAAGCAGTCCTCGACTTATGGCCAACATTGAGCCCCAAATTTCCATCGCTAAGCGAGACGGTCGCCAAAGCGAGTTTTGCCTCGTTTTACAGCCTTCCTTGCCACCGTTGTTAAGGGAGTCGCTGTGGGTGTTAAGGAAGGAAGACGGTTGTTAAGCGAATCCACCTTCTGGCCTATCAGAAGGTCGCAAAAGAGGATCGCGTGAGCCCGGAAACTGCGCCCGTCATAAATATGAGTCAGTTGCCAAGCGTGTGAATTTTAAACCCGCTGTCATAGAAATGCTGAGAGTGGTGCGGTGGCTTAGAGGTGTAGCTCTGGCCTCACAATCCGGCGGCTGTGAGTTCGATCCTAGGTTAGAGGCAGATATTTCTCTCTCTGGCCACGATGAGAATATTATCTGCTGAACAAAACTCCTCATTGGCAATAGGAAAGGCATCTGGCCACTAAAACACTCAGCTCCATTCAGGCTCTATCCCGGAAGGGACTACAGAGTCCTAAATCATTTCTCTCTCTCTCTCTTCTTCCTCCTACCCTCAAATTTTAAATCTGTTTGGCCTTTTAAAAGCTTCCTGGAATATTTCCTAGTGCCGTGATGGTGAACCTATGGCACGTGTGCCACAGGTGGCACTCGTAGCCATATCAGTGGGCATGTGAGCTCAGCTCTGGCGCACGCATCTGATTTTCAGGCCTCCTGGGCCCACCAGAAGTAGGGAAACAGGCTGTTTCCTGCCGCCGGAGGGCCTTGGGGGTGGTGGGGAAGGCTCGTTTTTTGCTGTCCCCAGAGCCTTTCTAGGAGTCTGGGGAGGGCAAGAACAGCCTTCCCCATCCCCCAGGAGGTTCTCCGGAAGCCAGAAACGGCCCGTTTGCCAA